GTTGCTTTAAGCAACCATTACCAGACTTACCTGGTATTTACCAGCATTGGTAAATCCCTCTTTTCATGCAGTGATATATCGAATGTATACTTTAGATATGCAATCATCATACAGGGAGTTCAAAACGCAGATATACTAAAACATCATTTTGATAATGCAAATAAGGGGGGTCACTTGCAACAACCCTCAGGTCCGTTTGCAGGTCGTATTTTTCTAAGCTCGAGGCATAGCTACGAAGTGACCCTCTTTAGAGGTCCACAATCATTACTGGTGAAATTTTGTTTTAAACACATACAAGCACACAGAAACTACTATCAATATAAAAAAAAGTAGGAAATATACAATGATCTATTGCAATTGATTACAGATGTGTAAGCAATAAGACTGCGTACGTTTTAGGTACGCTTAGATAGTATGTTTAATTATATTAGAAATAAAACAAAAAAAATGACACTGGGGAGGCACATGTTAGAGTTTTGATCGAAAATTTTAGACACTAATATATGATAGGATACTGGTTATGAATTTGCGTTGACGATGACTGCTAAAGCTACTTAATTCTAGGAATGTTGTTCTCTGCAGGCCCGCGCGTGGCTGTGCATTATTGTTCTCTGCAGGCCCGCGTGTGGCTGTGCATTAAATATTTTACCTCTAGGTTCTATGGCAAGATGGACAAATGGACCTCTGTGCCATATGTATTACGTAATACGTACAACAATGTATAACAATGTCATTTATGTGGTTATAATCAAATGGATATAAACATAGCAATAACTATGATATATATTGATATATATATATATATATATATATATATATATATCAATAAGTAATTAAAATTTAACATAATTGCCCAAAACAAATAATAAGAAATAGGTACACAATTTTTTAATAAGAAAAATCTTGTTGGAAAATGCAAGAACGGTGCATTTACACACATCTAATTGTACTTTAGATACTAGTAGCTTGAAAGGTGTCGTAGGTACCAAATTTAACAATCACTTTATCTATCTACGTAGCCATATCCCGTCTGTCTTTCCGTTGTGCGCTCTTTCTCTCACGGAAAGTACGTTGAGAAGCACCCTTTACTTTTCTTATTGTCTTTGAGGCGGATTGTCTTAAAAAGTCATTAAACTCTAGCCTTTCTTGGTTTGTGGGTTGATTTTCGTCTGCGTACACGTCCATTATGATAGCCATAAACATGCTTAACAAGAAAAACTGCATCATGCACTGGTACAAGAAAAACATCAACGGGTCTAGAATGCGATGTCCTTCACTTAAGGTTTCAAAATCAAAGCTACCCAACATCATCAACAGAAGGCTTTGTAAACTAGATGTTATGTTCTTGTACTCCATGAACTTGACACCGAAAATCAAGTTTGCCGTCTGGGTAAAAGCCATGATGACGATTCCGGCCGTGAACATGAACTGTGTTACAGGCTTGAGAGATCGTCTCAAGGTCATGGACAAGGCGTACACGTGAGAGTTGAAGCGGAGGATCCGGACGAACTTGAACGTAGAGCAGCAGATGAGAAGGCCCAGAAGGTAGGTGTAGACTTGGTACCAGCTGACGGCGTTTTTGTAACCTTCAAAGGAGGAGTTTACGGCCGCACGTTGTGTAATCCCATGAATTACAAGCACAAGAACTGGGTTTTAGGGAGAACTCAAATATATTTATTGGATAAAATTGAGACATTGGCAGTAATATTTTCAAAAAGGTTTGCTGCATTGCAAATATTTAAGTTATAGTTTTATCACATACCTTTTCTTACAAACATGAAAATCATGTTTAACCCTAAACAGTACACCTGGGGTCCGCGCGGACCCCAGCACTATATATTCTGTAATATCTTTTTTGTTTCTAAAGATTTTTTTCTGAAATTTTTAGGTAATTGTCACCCACAAAGTTGTCTCTCAATACAGTGCAGAAAACTACGTTTCTACCATTTATAAGAAAAATTATATCTGATTTTCTTTTGGGGTCCGCGCGGACCCCAGCCGGCTTTCGATCATAATGGTTACACTGGCGTTCTTATACATTACCTTATTTCCGTTTTTATATGTTTTTATGCATTCATCGTATGTCTACCAAGTTTTCAGAGAATGGTGTAGTAATAGAATTAAATTTTAATAACTTTGGTGTAATTATGACGTCATATGACGTCAGAGCTAATAATATAGTCCGCCATATTGGATTTTGACCAATGACGTCATCAAATTAGCATATACTATGCATATTAAATGATTTAACTTATATTTAATTATGTAAGATGTTATTAATGTTGGAAAAGAAGTGTAATTTTATATAAAACTCAGAAAATTTTTATGTTTAAACCAAAATTACTTCTATTTTCAAAAAAACTACCCGTTGCCATGGCAACACAAAAAAACATCAACTTACTAGTATAAAACTAATATGAACTTTTTTCCAGAGACATTTTAAGAAAGGTCTCCAAATTTGATACTTCTAGCGCAAGCCGTTTAGCCGCTATCTGAGATCAAAGTTGGGCCTCAAAAGCCCCTTCAGTCTGAAATGGGTTTAAAAATCGGGTATTTCTTCTTGTCTTCTTTTCTTCACCAAAAAATAGAAAAAGTTCAAAATGTATGATTTTTGTATGTAATGTGGACACAGAGGTTCCCACATCAGTTTGCAAAACAATTGAGCTGGTAGCATGTTGATAATTTCTAAAAATTAGCAAAAAAAATGCTCTGGGGTCCGCGTGGACCCCAGGTGTACAGATTAATCAGTCCGGGAATGTGTTCTGTTGAGGGTTAACAAGAAATAATTACATGCAGCATTTATCATGAAAGACATTTAACAAACAAAATACCTGCAGACACAATCTAAATATATCAGCACCCCTGAAAAAGGCTTTAAAAAGAGGTGTGCCCCTGAATAAGATCCCTTATT